GTCATCTGGCAACATTTTACAGTGCCCGTAAACTATCTAAGAGCAGGCCTAGAAATAAACAGCTTAAGGTGTCTCTGTACTGAGGATCAAAAGACATTTAGCACTCTCCATTGTTTAGTAGAATAAAGTATGCAGATAATGGATAATGATTAGATGTTTTTGGTGTCCGTGTGTGACTAATTGATCACGACTAACAATCATCTACTCAAGTCACTTTGTTGCATGAGTGTTTCTGCACTAAATCGCCTTGTGGGTGAGAGAGGTGATTGGGCTCAAGGGATAAGACGACCTGTTGAATATCAGACCTGCTGAACGTGAATCAAGAAAAATGAAACCACGGGAGGCCACGTTTACAAGTCTTGGTGGATTTGCCTGCAGGGGGTGATCTTTTGTATCGATCACCCTGATGGGTGGGTATCTGCTCCAGCCATGTCCTGGAGAGCCATACTCTCCCGTGTTCCAGTCTAGTTCTGACAGAATTAATAGGATTAATCAATTGCTTAATTAAGGGAAAACCTCTCCCTTAATGCAGCCTGTAAAATGTGTTTGACTGCTGCGCCCCACTTTGCAGACAAATGATTGCAATTATTTAATTGCAGATGACTTAAATACATACAGGGGTTGTGTGGAGTATGTTGTACAGTTCTTTTTGCGTTCAGTTTTTGAATAACTGAAGATAATTAGTTTTAAGTAAACATATTGAATTATATTTGGTGCACAGCTACAGATTCTTGTTCGAAATTTAGTCTTCACTGTATATATGTTATACATTAGCAGCTGTTTTTTCAACTTCATTAGGAACATCGACTTTCTAATTATGGAGTCTCAAGTGACTCATGTTGTATTTGACCCTTATTTAAAACTAAATAGGAGCATTTTTAGCACACATTTGCATCCAATTTTACCGCCCATGTTTTGACGAAAATACAAAATCTTAAAGTTAAAAATGAAAACATCTTAAATTAGTGTCCCCAATTATTTCACTTCCAAACCTCAAATGAATAGGGCCCAGAGTTGACAGCTGGGATTCTCGAGATAGCGGAAATTGTTTGATGTGGTCATCTCAGGTGAAGAGAAAAAAAACAAGCTCCCAAGTATTTTGGTTGCTTTGACATAGTTTTACTTGTCAAGGTATATTTTTGCTCAACAAATTCATTCTTTAGTTATCTTTCTCAGGGTTCATGTCCTTGGAAAGTAATTTTAGTTTGTAAATAACATACCAGCAAAGTCTAGGAATGTTCATCTTAGACCTGCTGAGCTAAGATAGACTATTTTGTATAGATCAAGTGCCCCGGAGATGTCCAGGAGAGGTCTCCCGGAGATGTCCAGGAGAGCCAGAGTATCTTTTGGTTTCCATTCTAGTTTTGACAGACGTAATCAGTTGCTTAGTTAAGGAGGATCAACATTGTTCCCAGGTCCCTGCTCATTGATCTTTTCAGGCTGCCCGTAACTGCTGTTCCCAAGACCAAGGTTGCAGGCCCCTGGTAGTTTAAATATAGCTTTTAAGATGTTTTTAGAACCACATCACTGTTTTCAAGAAGTTATGGTTAGTATGAAAATCCTAAACACATCACCAAAATGTTGAATGCATGTGTCGGAATTATCTTTTGTTACTTATACCATTATTGGGTCTTAGTTTGTAATCTGATACACGGCTACGTTTCGAAGCTGCTTTAACATGGTTCACAGTGTGGTTACGTTTCAGTGAAGACGATGTATAATGTTTTAAAAGCAAGAAATTTCCATTTTTAAAATGTTGATCGTGTAGCATCACACGTGTTGCTCAGTTGCTGGAATAAGATTAATTGCTAATAAGTAAATTTTTATAAATTTAAGCCGTAATTATTATGCTTTCTTATACGCTCCTGTAAAGAGTTTTTATAGTGCGTCGTTCATGAAAGCCAGGTTTATTCAGAATGATGGACTGCTGAAAGCTGTGCTGAAGAGATAAAACAACAGACTGCTGAGGAAGTGGGAGCTGATTATAGCAGGCTGCTCTATGGTTGCTTCAGCTGAACAAGATCCAGACAAGCACACACCCGAACAGTGACATGGGATTAACTGTATTCGTGTGACGACTTTAACCTTCAGTTTTTTTTTCCAGGCTCCCCCTCTCCACCGCCACCGGAATACATCTTCAAACCTCCTCCCCGGCCGGACTTTGGTACAATGGGGAGGATCATCAAACTCCAGGCGAATTTCTTTGAGATGGAGATCCCAAAACTCGAGGTGTATCATTATGACATTGATATCAAGCCAGAAAAATGTCCAAGAAGAGTCAACAGGTAAATGAATTGGGTTGTTTTTCGGTTGTTTTAAAATGTTAACATGCTTGATCTTGCCACGGAATGGGTGTTTAAAACAGTTCTTCCCTAGAGCCAGAAATCCATTGTTGTGTAATACAGAAGGGTCTCAGCATTTGGAAGGGTTTGGTGCAGAGAACTATCGCAAATAGTCAACTTCACATAAAATCAAGTCCAACTCTATACTGTTGCATACTATACTACAGGATGTAGTATGTATGGTTTGAAAGACATAAGTAACCCTCCATTTTATGATAAAGTACTCATGCTTTGGCTTTAAGCTAATTTTAAATAACATCGATCAATTTCAAAGAAACAATAACCACAGAGTTATAGTAATCAGCTAAAATAAGCATGATTCCCCCAGGCTGATGCAGAATCGGGAGGGTTTGTAATGTAAAAGCAAGAGCACTTTGATGCTGGATAGTGAGTACTTTGGCAGGGGGCGGAGAGAGGCTCAATCACTAGCGAGATTCAAATGGTTATTCTAGTGTGGTGCAGTTAATCTGACAGTGATTCTTAACCTTCAGTTTGGTTTCATCTTGCTGTTTTCTTCTTCCATATGAGACCAAATCACCAATAAGGAAATTTGCGAATGTTAAATTTGCAGATCTTGAGATGTCTTTTATAAGTTTCAGAAAGTATTGAATAGCATAGATTCAACGATCTGCTTAAGAGCTAACATGTATGCACTAAATAGAAAAAAGTCTCCTAAGGAGCACTTTTTAAATTTGACATTTTATGATTACAATATGGAATTATAACCTATTTTGGGGGATATCTTTGGGAGGTTCCAAAGTTGATTAGTACAGCTACTAATAAGAACTACATCATGAAGACAAAGGAACATTCAGAGCAAATTTGAATGACTTATTGAAGAATGCCAATCAGGGGATGGGTATAAGAACATTTCCAAGGCATTGAATATCCCCCAAAGTACAGTAAAGTCCATTATAAACCAGTGGAGAAAATGTAGTACAACTGTGAACCTGTTTAGAGCAGGGCCAAAAGGAAAACTATTGTTGAAAGCAACTCACATCAGATTTTGACTAAAGTTTGTCAGAAGAAAAGTGGAAGACTCTGAGACCAAATGGAAGAAGGTTCTATGGTCTGATATGACCAAATTAAGCCTCAACACTAAGCATTATGTTTGGTGCAAGTGGGAACACCACTTCTGCCATGGTGTCAGCATCATGTTAAAAACAAAAACATTCTGTAGTAGCCCAGTCATAGCCCAGACCTCAATCCAATAGAGAATATTTGGCAAGAGTTGAAAGTTGCCATTCACCAATGGTCCCCACCCAACTTGAAGGAGCTTGAGCAATTCTGCAAGGAAAATTGGGCAAAATTTGCAGTGTCCAGATGTGAAAAGCTTGTAGAGAGATCTATCCAAGAATACTCACACCTGTATGTTCTGCCAAATGTGCCTTGCAAATGTTGACTCAGGGCAAGTGAATACTTATCAAGTTTTTTTTGGCTTTATATTTATAATTGAGGAGAATCAGTAGGATATTATTTTTACATTGACATTTAAGAGTATTTTGTGTTGATCAACAAATCCCAATTAAAAACATTGATGCCATATTGTAACAATAACATGTGAAAAAACGTGAGGCGGGTGAATACTTTTGATAACCACTGTAAATGGGGCACCGTGGTATTAAATACATGTTTTATAAATTGTCTCATGTTAACCAAATAAGATCTGAGCTGAAAAAGTGTGATCATTTTGGAATTTTCCATGTCAGCCAGCAAATAAAGACGATCTGCACCAGAAATCGTTAATACAGTCTGAAACCCCAAAGAAGCTGTATGGTTCAGACTCTTTTCTCAATTTAAATTGCAATTTTGTGTAAATGGTATTTGTTCCCTTTTCATTGTACAATCCTAACACCTCATGATGGTCTGATATGCAAACTTCATTCGGCGAAACCTTTTTTCTGACCAATTCTTAAGGCATCCCTGAGTTTGTGAAGACCCTCACACAAGAGCCTTTTCACAAAGCCTACTTCAGCTGGAGCTCATTCAAAAGGCATATCAAAGCAATCCATTCTTGCCCGTTTTAGTTTTCGGACTGCCCTCCAGTGTTGGATCAGGGATTGTTTTCCTCTTTCTTTGTTGTCGAGCATTATACACCTTCTCCCCGGGGTTTGTAAGTGGTCTGTTCTGTAAGAGTTGACATAATCCAAATTTCCTGTACGAAAAGCCCCTTTCTCAGCTGTTGCGTGAATGCATACAATTACCATTCATGCTATTGCAGCAACGCTGCCTTATTTGCCCTAGATCTGTCTGCAAGTGCGGAAGGGGGTGCAGGAGAGCACAGTTGCCAGTTCAACAGCTCTTATCTCCCTATGATGCTTAACAGGTATGTGTGCTAATCTCAGAGTGGGTAGAGAAACGTGGAGAGACAAAATAGCGATGAATGAAAAACATGTTTTAAACTTAAATATAGCATACCTTAAAATAAGCAGTACAGAAAATGAGAGAAATACATTTTAAAGAATTTAGAAACGCAGTACACTGTACTGTTAATTAGAAAAAAAGTAAAGTCACTTAGGTGCTTACCCAACACGATTGCCAAAGGGGTTGCTCTCAATTTTCATTGAAAGTGCCAAGATATAATTTTGAAGAAAAAAAACACTTTTATGTACCTTCAAATGAGGTATTATGTAAAAAGTTGTGTAAAAATATGGAACGAGATAAAATGGCTTAATGTTTGTATAGAGCCCTTTATCAAAAAAAAGTAACGACAAGAAAATAGTTTCAAAAGTAATACACATGTACTGGCGGCATGAAAAACTCAACAATATATTAAAAATGAGAAAACGATATCCACGGATTAGTGGATGAGTATATGCAAATTAATAAAAAAAAACTTTTCCACGTTCACATATGTAGAGAAACATCTGTTGGAAAAACCTGATTTGTTTATCTCCAAAATGGAAGTAAAAGAAAAGAATGACAAAAGAGAATCACTTCACAGGTTTGGAGAGCTGGTTAAGACCTACTTGCACATATTCTAGTCCTGTTGGCTATTTATAGCCCTTAATTAATAAGGTGGTAAACTCAGTTACACCTTTAAATTCTCAGTAACAAATCTGTAAAAAAGTTTCCTTTTGATCACATTGAACCAAAATACCATTTTATACTAGGAATTATAGTAAAAACGCTCTCACAAGAAAACAGTTTATCAAAGAACATCCGACATCTGAACAGTGGATTGATTTAGTGAATGAGATTTATACAATGGAAAGGATAACATTTTCTCTCAAATTAGTCAGAAAGGTTTAACTAATACTCATTAAACTGGATCAATTGTCCCCATTGAGACCTGATTTCAGTTTCTGAAGTAAAATGAAGTGATATTTCTGTGTAGATGCCTTTTTTGATTGGTGTTTTTAGGTAATGTTCAAATGCGTGTAGCTTCTGATTTTGTAGAAAATCTAAATTTGTGCAAGTTGAGTCTTACACAGCCCGGGGAGAGAGTGTGTTGCTTTTCCATTGTTTTTCACAGACCTCTTCCAGCCACAAGACCTGTTGTGGGTTTGTTGCGCTTGTTTGCTTTATGATGAGTTGTTTTGGTTTTTCTTCCAGAGAAATAGTAGAGCACATGGTCCAGCACTTTAAAACGCAAATCTTTGGTGATCGAAAACCAGTATATGATGGAAGGAAAAATCTCTACACAGCTATGCCTCTTCCAGTTGGGAGAGAGAAAGTAAGTTCAGTTCACTTATTTCAATAAAGTTGAAATTATTAAATGAATTTGAGGCTGCCCTGGTTTATTTGTCTGCACATGGTATTTCCTCAGAATACTCCGAGATGGTAGTCTTTGTAGAATTTTAAATTATTTACATTAAAATGTTTTACAGAAGACGAGTTAGTTTGATGGAGTCTGTAGGATGATTTGTGGATGATTTTTATATTGCTACATTAGCAACCAGTTGCTGCAGAAATTGTGACTTCAGTAGTTTAAAACTTCACCTGTGTATGTAACAGTAGGATTGTTACAATACCTTTAAGGCTGAAGTGTTGCTCACTCTCTGAGTAAAGCAGTACATCACACGCTTTTAATTTGCTCTGGGTTTAATACCTAAGAGGTGCAATTTCCAATGCAAACCTGAAACGGTAAAGTATGGCATCAAAACTCCTATTATTCTTCAGCCGTTCAAGTGCATAAAGGCTGGACTTTCAAGGATGGCTCTGGTACTGTACTGGAATTAATTTATTTTTCTCCGCAGACGGAACTTGAAGTTACCATTCCAGGGGAGGGAAAGGACAGAAGTTTCAAGGTGGCAATAAAATGGGTTTCTTGTGTCAGTCTTCAGGCTCTGCATGATGCACTGTCTGGGCGACTGCCAAATATTCCCTTTGAAACCATCCAGGCACTGGATGTAGTCATGAGACACTTGCCCTCTATGAGGTTAGTAATCCCAGTGTTGACTTGGGATCTTTGGGGACTGGTTTGTTTGAAGCAGGCGGAAATGCATTTTCTGTGCGTGAATAAAGCCTTGTTAAGTATTAGCTGCGTGTCTTCACGTCCTGCTGAAAGCCCTGAAGACAGGGTCAACACTTAAGTCACTTGACTGATTACGATACTTCAGTGTTGTATTTGATTCAGGATTGATAGTAAATCCTTAAAGAAATTTGCTGTTCCAAGTTTCATCATCCCTTGTTTCGTACATTGCTTTCAACTTGACAATGAACCCGTCTTGTCAATAGTTCTTTTGTGGGGAAAAGAATCAACCACATGTATAACTAACAAAAATATTTAAATTTATGAATCTACATGTTTTCAGTTGCATAGGGTTGAATAGGCAAGTGAACTGAGGCAGGTTCATTACAGTTTTATCTTGCCATTGCTTGTAGTATCTAATGTAAAGTTTTGCTCTTTTGTATTTTTATATTTTAATAATTGTGTACACTATTAGTTTAAAAGAATCACAATGTTACACTTAGAATGTGAAGGGTTCTTTGAACAAAGCTAAAATTTAGGAGCTTAATGTACACTGCCCTCTAGTGGCCTTTGCAGTTTGTGCAGGAGCTGCCTCTGTGGAATTCAGCTTAGAAAAAGTATTCTGAAATACTGATTTGTGCTTCTGCATGTGTGGAGTCTTTCTGGCAGTTGAAATGTTGCAGAAGTAACCTTGTGATTTAGTAGATGCTTTTTGAAAAAGTGCATTTTGAATCGATGCCACCTTTATCTTACTCACACTCTTAGATTGAAGTAAGCACCAGCCTTGACTACATATCACAAAAAAAATAAGGCTGATTGAATCATTCACATCTGTTTAATATTGATTAGTTAAGCTCAGTAAATGGTATGATAAGTAAATGTTAAAAACCCTAACACCTGTAGACAGACCCTATTTACCAGTTTTTATTATGTACTTTTTATGTACATAATCATAACTGATGTTTCGTTCACACTATGGAATGGACATTTCTGACCCTATAGCTCTTGTTTGTTTCACTTCAGAGGTGAATGGTACCCTGCCTCTGATGACACGTTCTAGGAATAATGGTGTTTCTGTTGGCAAACAACATTACTGCTTCGCTTTTATTAAGCGGCTTTGAAAAACAGAAAGACAGCAGCCAAGAGAACAAGTTCCTCCATCGCTAAGAACATGCAGCAACTCTGCAGCAACATGCTTAGAGCCAGTTGCTTGTATGGCCAGAGGGCCATATCATAGGCTTCATCACTAGACCGAAAGGTGATTGGCAATTGCAGTTATTTAAACAGCACAGGATTAACTGAATTTCCTTGTGGCGTAAACATTCTCTACAGCAGCATTTGTATGATAAAGCTCCACCCAGCCAATCGGCTAGATATAAAATAACTTTTAATTTAAATTAAAATAACCTTTAATTTAATTTAATAATGTGCTGTCAAGTTATATTTTCTGATACCGACAGGAGGGCCCTTCAGTGAAAATCAAGGAAAACAAGAATGTTCCGTTTTAAAATGTTACAAAAGCTTTTTGTCGGACATTTTAAATGGAAATATTAAATTTTTCTACTCTAAAATTACAATGTGCGTAACTTCCAACCTGTCACTGCTCAGAAAGCCAACTTTCCATTTCTTTTGTGCGCTGATGAGCGAACGCTAATTCACGTTCGCAACCATACTTGGAATAGACCTGCTCTGGGACCCTGAGCAGGTGACAGTTTTGAAAACAGAAGAACCTCATGATGATGATGATGTATATCACCTTTTAAGCGCAGTGCCGTTTAAACTGGTGTCAATCCAAAGTACAGCAGTGCAATATCTCCCAAGCGTTACGTGACGGATGTCTAATTACGGCGAACTTGTCTGTGCTTACAACAGGTACACCCCCGTAGGCCGCTCTTTCTTCACTCCCTCGGAGGGCTGTTCAAACCCCCTGGGTGGAGGCCGGGAGGTGTGGTTTGGGTTCCACCAGTCTGTTAGACCTTCTCTCTGGAAAATGATGCTTAATATCGATGGTAGGGTTTCAATCCGTGTGTAGATACCTTGTACTTGAATAACTGTTCTTTTTTCAATCCCTCCCCCCTGGCATTTAGATTTCACTTATCACTCCCCAGTCACAGATCACCCTTCGTTCAGGCCCTTGCCTACGTGGCCATGCTACCCCCCTGTCCTGTGTTCTCCTGTTCGTGATGTCTCATCCACCTCCCTCTCTCTCACGCACACCTGCAGAAAGCTCAGCAGCTGAAACCTTGTTCCTTTGCCCCGCTTCTATCGCATCCTTTCCTGGTTGCTTGGTTGTCATTGTCACTGACATATCTGGTTATAAAAAAAAACCTAAGACTAGCACTCGCCGTGTTCAGCTCAAAATATCTTCACAGCTAACTTCAATTTCTGTGTGATTTGTTTTAGTGTCCGCCACTGCGTTTTACAAAGCCCAGCCAGTGATTGAGTTCATGTGTGAGGTTTTGGATTTCAAAAGCATTGAAGAGCAGCAGAAACCGTTAACGGACTCCCAGAGAGTAAAATTTACAAAGGAAATAAAGGGTCAGTTATTTTAACAACGCGTTATTGTGGTTCTGTTTTCAATAAGTAGTTCAGGTGGGTAGCTGCGTCAGCATGCGTAGGCTGCAAAGGAACAAGCAATAGGTTTATTCCATGCTGAAAAAAAGACGAAAGAAAACGCAACGTTTCGGCCGTGGAGCCTTCTTCAGGTGTGAGGAACCTGTAGAAGAAGCTCACACCCGGAGAAGGCTCCACGGCCGAAACGTTATTTTCTTTCTTCTTTTTTTCAGCATGGAATAAACCTATTACTTGTTCCTGTTTTCAATAAGCCTCCTGTATGTATTCTCTGTTTTATGTTTCTCTGCTGTACTGTCTACTAATTACAATTTCATTGAAAGCTGACGTGCATTGGGAACTGGCTTGTGGTCTTTAGCCTACTGTGAGAGCAAGAGTTGTTGCTTCTTATTAGATCTAGAAGTGCTAATGTGTTAAAAACACTCCAACTGTATTAAAAATATTAGTTAATAGAATGCAGAAGGTGTCTAATTTTAGTGGGCAAGCCTATTCAATTCAACAGTTCACCCATGCGTAACTACTTGAAGGCTTTATAGGCACCCATAAGGTAACATGCATTTTGAAATTACTCAAAATACTGCGGCATGCATCTTAGTCACACCTGCTTTACAAATGCTTTACAAAAAATAAGCTTTGGATCTTGTGTGTGTGTGTATATAAATCTCATCTTCTTGATTATAGGTCTGAAGGTGGAAATAACACACTGTGGACAGATGAAAAGAAAATACAGAGTATGCAATGTAACCAGGAGGCCAGCCAGTCACCAAACGTAAGACTTCACACATGTATACATTTTCCATTCCTTGTAGGCTCTCTTGTATTATCTATCTGCATTTGAAATTGATGTAACTAGAGACTCAGATTGCTTTAATGCATATAGAGAAACTAAATTTTAGCATCTTCTGTCTTGAAACCTTGGAGAAATAGTCATTGGCATGCATCCTATTATTTGTCATACTAATTTTGTTTTTCCTTTGCATAGGTTTCCTCTTCAACAGGAAAATGGACAGACAGTTGAATGCACTGTAGCACAATATTTTAAAGACAAGTACAAGCTTGTCCTCCGTTACCCTCATCTTCCATGTTTACAGGTTGGCCAGGAGCAGAAACACACCTATCTTCCTCTAGAGGTTAGTCTAAACTCCATTGAGGAAAATAGAGCTGTATATCCTCGCTGATCACATTTTTCGCCACGAGACCAAAAGTGTTTGAAAGTTGGAGGCGTGTGTGGGTGCCAACTTCAATGTGTTGCGTGTCCATCACGTGTTTTATCTCTAGTTACCTAAACTAATTCTTTTTAAGAAGATTAGTTTATTCAGTCATCTGTTTCTCGGTTTATTCAAAGTGACCAATCTCTGTTTGTTGTAACAGGTTTGCAATATAGTGGCAGGTCAGAGGTGTATAAAGAAGCTGACAGACAATCAGACCTCCACAATGATCCGTGCCACAGCCAGATCAGCGCCTGACAGGCAGGATGAGATCAGCAAACTGGTGAGTATAACTATGTACTTAATAGTTGCTCTGTAGATCTCTGTACTGCACATCAGAAAAAGTATTATTTAAAACATTTCAGTGTATTCAGTATCATATTAATTGTAGATGAGCATCAAGAGAAATTTACACAGATATTGCTTCCTCTCTTTGGATTTCTCGAGTCTGTGTTGGATCTAATGTTTCAAACACCATTGAGCGTTTGCTCATGTACAGCTTCTTTTCCACTACATTATTTTCTAAAACTTTAGGAATAGAGATTCCAAACATTAGTCAGTCCTTGATAACCGAAATGACTACTTCTCTTGCAGATGAGAAGTGCCAGCTTTAACAGTGATCCTTATGTACGCGAATTTGGCGTAGTGGTGAGAGACGACATGACAGAAGTAAATGGTCGTGTTCTTCAGGCACCTTCTATACTCTATGGAGGCCGGGTACGTATGTAAATAGAATTATTATGAATACAAATGAGAATGTAATGTTGCAAATGAGAGGGTCAGCTCACCTGACTCTTGTGGTATTAATCTCTCATCCTTTAGATTAATGCACAGCATTTTCTGTTTTGAGAGTTTTGTTGTTTCAGAAAATGTCTTTGTAGTATTGGGATTTCTAAAGTTGTGTATTTGAGGAGTACAATTTTTAATTTCACAGCAAAATAGCCTAAATATTGTGCAGGTGTAGGGAAAGAGTTGCGTTGCGCTCCTTTTTTTTTAGTATTTTCTGTTCCAGAGGAAATAAACAAGTCTCCTTACTGAAGCCTTCACATCTGTTGGAAGCAGTGAGGATGTTTAATTCTTAACCTCTTCTGTTTTAACTTCCAGAATAAGGCAATAGCCACTCCAATCCAGGGCGTGTGGGATATGAGGAACAAGCAGTTTCACACTGGAATTGAAATTAAAGTTTGGGCGATTGCCTGCTTTGCTCCCCAGCGACAGTGCACTGAGCTTTTACTCAAGTAAGCACGGTTTCTTTCCCGTTACGTTTTTCAAGAAGTTTTGGAATAGTTTCCCGACCTCCGATTTTATGTGCTTATCCGTCGTTAAAAAGACGTCTTTTTTTTTCTTTTAAAGAGCTTTCACAGATCAGCTTCGCAAGATTTCACGGGATGCCGGCATGCCGATTCAGGGGCAGCCTTGTTTCTGTAAATATGCCCAAGGAGCTGACAGCGTGGAGCCAATGTTTAAGCATCTGAAGTACACCTACCAGGGACTTCAGCTGGTGGTGGTGATTCTCCCAGGGAAGACTCCCGTGTATGGTTAGTACTGCCCATATTCAATTATTCTGCACACATTTGCGTATCTTGTTTTTAGAAACTAAACCGTTTTTAGGCAACTTTTTAGCTTGAGTTAATTTATAGTTATATGGGTTTGTAATTGTAGTATCTTGTCCTGGGCAATTTTAGCTGAAGTGAAACGCGTTGGAGACACAGTCCTGGGGATGGCCACTCAGTGTGTTCAGGTGAAGAATGTGCAGAAAACTACCCCCCAGACTCTTTCAAACCTCTGCTTGAAGATCAATGTCAAACTGGGCGGCGTTAACAACATCCTTTTGCCACAGGGCAGGTAAGGTCAATTTTCATTGAAATGTGGAAAGAATTCTGCATAACCCGATATACAGTACATACAAGGTATATTGAAATACTTAAGCAGCACTGGTATGTGGTAGTAAGGGAACGATTTGATGACTATCACTCTGTATAATCATTCTTCATCTTAATGCATTTGGCCCATTTGGTCTTTAAAATGGAAATTACTTGTGTATAGAACCCTTCTGACTAGGTGTGTTCAACTATGGTGTCAGATCAAAATGACCCTGGACTAAGAACAGTAGTGTATTTAAAGCTGTCCAAATTCACAGGTAATGAGGACCTGTTAGCAGTACAGGAATACCATGTTGGTTGTTCCCAGTACAAATATTCAGTCATGGTCTCTGAGGTTGAGTGGTGAACCTGTATCTGGTCATCAGTTACTAGATGATAAAGTGGCGGATCAACAGCTTTTCTAGACACCACTCTTTGGGATGTTTTGAGCTGAAATTCTGGGGCTCCCATCCTGCAATAATGTTTGACATGCTGAGATATTGCTGGATAATTTCAGTGTTACAAAATTCCGACTGTGTCGCGTTTGAACTCCTCTTCCCATCATGTGATTGTTAAAAAGTGATGGACAGCTTCCCCCTCATCCCAAGCACTTGTCCGTGGATTTAGTTGCAGTGTGTCCTTCCTTTGACCAGCATTTTGACCAAATGAAAAGATGAAAAGAACAGCCATTAGGTGTACATTAAATAATACATGGATTATAATTGTTTGTGCAGCTTTCAATAATTCTTACGATTTGCACAATACTCAGTGCTTAAGCATGCGAGTTGCGAAACATTTTGAGCACCTCATTTTATAGATGTAGGTCTGTTTTCTTAATGCAAAAAGTTTCAGTGTGTAATTATAACATGATCTCTTTCAGGCCCTTGGTGTTTCAGCAACCTGTCATATTTCTGGGAGCAGATGTGACTCACCCACCAGCAGGAGATGGGAAGAAGCCCTCGATAGCTGCTGTAAGTTTTTTATGCTTGGCTTTAAATCCCTTATTGTGCATTTTTTTCCCCCTCCGAATCCTTATGAATGCCTTTGCACTGCGGGCCAACTGGCTGTTCTCCTGCTTTGCTAGGTTGTGGGTAGCATGGATGCCCACCCCAGCCGATACTGTGCCACTGTGCGGGTCCAGCAGCACCGTCAGGAGATCATTCAAGACCTGTCTGCCATGGTGAGGGAGCTGCTGATCCAGTTCTACAAGTCGACTCGCTTCAAGCCCACGCGGATCATCTTCTATCGTGATGGCATCTCTGAAGGGCAGTTCAATCAGGTAATCGGGAGGAGTAGATGTGCAGAAGGTGTGCTTTGTGTGGGCCGTTTTCAAAACTAGAGGATAAATTCAAGGGCCCTCTGTAATAAGTGAAGGACACTAAAATCGTGACTATAAAAACTAGTTTTTTATTGTGTTTTCAATCAAATGCATTCTCAGGTTGTTATCCTTTTGCCTTAGTCCTTTATTAGTAATTCAAGCTAATGTTATTAATATTAGAATGTTTCTTCTCAGTAAAGGGGGTAGCAGGTGAGAAATCCTCTGCTAAATTTGTAAGTTTGTGTGTTATGCCGAAATCGTGCAGTACAGCTGAGGCATGCAGATTTTGTCCTTCTGTCTAAAGTCTTCTTGAAGATGCCCCATGGTTGTTGTTCATTTTCTTAAGGTGCTTCATTACGAGTTACTTGCTATCCGTGAAGCTTGCATCAAACTGGAGAAAGACTACCAGCCAGGGATTACATTTGTTGTGGTGCAAAAACGCCATCACACAAGACTCTTTTGTATGGACCGAAATGAAAGGGTAAGGGATATTAACTAAATTCTGTCCCATGCACGAACCGAGGCATTGCACACATTTTTACTAATCTGAATCATTTTTGTCTTTGCAAACTGTAATGAAATCCAATTTTATAGAGGTGGTATAAAAAGCTGCATAAAAGTGGTCTGTACATTTGGTCCTCTAAAAACTGTAATAAGAGTGTATATATATATCATGGGTTTTCTTTAGAAAGTTTGTGGGCTATATAAATGGAAGCATTAAGTCAGCTTATTCAGTGGTTGCTGCATTCCTGGCTGTACTTGGCCTTCCAGAACTCAGAGCATTATTAGGGTTATTTAAGTCTTATCTAAATGTCTTCACTTGTTCATCTATAGTAGACTGGGGCACTCACTTAAGTTATAGTGTTAACTATTTTGTGATTATCCAGAGCTTTCTTGTCCCTAAGGGCTGATCTGCTCTCTCCTGAATGTCCTTTCTGTGAATGGTGCTATTTTAAGAATATTAGTTGACCACCTTGCCTGTTTGGTTGGTAGAGAGCTTAATGATTATTCATAGTTTGTCCTACAATACCCTGAAGATGCCCAGAGTTTGGGTTGAAACTGGCCGGCCGGAAACCATGTACCCAACACCCACAACTGTTTGTGTAAAGAAATGACCAGCCTTTACATCATTTCCAGTGAAAGTGACCCTGTGTCCCTATTTTGCTTCTAAGCCTAACGAAGTCTCCTGGGTTTACCTTATTTCTAGCTATAATTCGTTACTAAGTTCTCCCTTAATTCACTTGATCAAGCAAGTTCTTAAATATTTTTTTGCATTGTGTTGAATGTATTATTTTATTTTGACATAAATGCCTACTCCCTGAACTTGAATATTTTACCAGGTTGGAAAGAGTGGAAATATTCCTGCGGGCACAACCGTAGACACAAAAATAACCCACCCGTCAGAATTTGATTTCTATCTGTGCAGTCATGCTGGCATCCAAGTAAGTACTGAGTCTGTCACCGACTTCTGTTCTTACATTTTTAATTACCCCGTAAAATGGATTTTGCCTGTGCTTCACTTCTTTTGTTAGGCTTTATTTCTTAAACATTTAGGACTTTCATTATACCCACTCTCATCTGAGGCACCTTGACGTGACACCTGTACCAACTGTAATATGTCTCTACAGGGAACCAGCAGACCATCACATTACCATGTGTTGTGGGACGACAACCATTTTTCTTCAGATGAGCTGCAGGTGCTCACCTATCAGCTGTGCCACACCTACGTGCGCTGCACGCGCTCCGTCTCCATCCCAGCACCTGCCTACTATGCTCACCTGGTAGCGTTCCGAGCACGCTATCATCTGGTGGACAAGGAACACGACAGGTACGCAAGAATAGAATGAGAAAAATATTATCGTATAACGTATTGACCTGCTCTTATAATACAGCACGCTTCCTCATGGGTGACGTTTGATATGATGTCATCAGGTTTTCCCAATTTTATTTTCTAAACGGGATTCTTGGAAGCTTAAATGTCAGATTAACCAGGTAACAAGTGCAGTTTAAAAACCTCTAGGGTAATATGTATGGGATGAAGCCCAGCTTTGAAAATGAATGCCCAAATGATTTTCTTTCTTAATTTCTAGTGCTGAAGGGAGCCATACCTCAGGGCAGAGCAACGGACGGGACCAGCAGGCATTGGCCAAGGCAGTCCAAATCCACCAGGATACACTCCGCACCATGTATTTTGCTTGACCAGGGTGTGGGTGGGAGGGGGGAACTGGGCAAGGCTTGAAGCATAATGTTGCAGAAGAGAGCTGGGTTCCAGTCTGACTGAACTGCACTTCTCACCCCTCATTACTTAAAACAGATCAAGAAAGCGATTGGAAAAGCACTGACAAGACAGGTACTTCATGACATGTACTTTGATATTTCTGTAATGTACTTGGACAATACAACATTTTTTTTTTTTAGTGGTAGACCAGTTCTACTCTGACTGATCTCGACTGGCAGACTAAACATGTCAGGATCTTTTTTTTTCTAATATTGATGGGACTGGGTCCCGCCAGAAATGGACTTCAGTGACGCATTGTTCATATAGGTCCATGTTTTTGTTACAAATACCTAAGCAACAGGTATGCCACTTAAGTGTTTTAAGCCATGATCTTTCTATGCATTGCATAGGACACTGATAAAAATGATGGGGTCTCATTACTTTATGTATTAGCCAAGCAAATACTGTTTCTTTTTTCGCTACTTATAGACTCTATGGTGCACTGTAGTTTTAAACACAAAATCCTTCTTCTGAAAGTTTTAAAAATTGCTCTTGTATGCCACATTTTGTATGAAGCAACTTAGAATATATCAGAAGTTCAAATTACATAAAACCTCAAAAACATTTTAAGTGAGCTTGGGAGCAGGCAGGACTTTTCAACAAACATTGCACAAAAGGTGCAAATTTAATTTGACTGCTATACTGTTGAATTTTATCGTGTCTAAGGATATGTACAGAGCCGACCAAGAAAGATTTTAGATGCTTTGACACTTAATAAAAGTCCTGAGTCTTGATTCCTTCCTGCCTTCATCTCAGTTTGGCACTTAGATTTAAGACCAAGACTAGAGAAAGGAAATTTGGATCGTTTGGTTTTGTAGTGTAGTATGCTTTCCTATCTATGACTTTTTGAGTTTAATCTTTTGAGAGAGATTTAATAACAGGTCTCTTTTGAAAGCATCCAGGAAAAAATGAGCAATGAAATAATCATTAGTACTTTCTTTCTCCTTAGTATAAGGATAATATTTTTTTTTGTAATTTGGCGTTCCACCCAAACTTTAGTCTACAGCTGTATATTTCCATTAGAATGTGATATTCCTGTTTTAATGTGAAAACATAATTGTTAAATCATTTATAGTAACTACAATTTGGCCTCCATTATTGATCTAAATTTTCAATCTCTTCGTCTTTAGATATTCACTATTTATACAGCTACCTTGTGATTTTGTTTCTTTCAGTAGTTAGTTTCATTATATTGTGATGACTTCATTGTCTTTAATGGTACTTATGTGTCCACACACCTTAATTGTAGTGCAAAAAAGGCATGCAATTTAAGAGGACATGAATTTTATTCCCAGTAAGTATAGATTGAATTTGTTTTACTTATTTACTGATATTCACCAGCACCTTACGTTGTCTGACATGCACAGAATAAGCAATTCCTTGAATTATGAACAAAACTAGAACAATGTTTTGCACTTTAACTGAAAAAATATAGATGTTGTAGTTTGAGAGTTCAGGACCAGTGCAAATCATGAAACAGTAAGTATAAATATCAAGTGTTTTGGACATGGACTTAGAATAGCAGATAGTCATTATGTATTTTATAATTATTTGGCAGTTTTTCAGGAGAAAACGAGAGAAAGGGCAAGTTGACCATTTGTTGAGTAATAAGTTCAGCGCCTGAAATACTCATTATAAAAACAAAGCCCAACTGCACTTTTTAATCTCTTATAGTACTTGTTTTATGGTTCAGTACAATGGCTGGTTTGAAGATCTCAATGCAATCTATTACACCGCCATGAAGTTTTGATGGGTGAAGGTTCAGTGTAAGACATTGTCAGAGCTGCCCAGCTCCCTTCAGTTCAATTAGATTGCCAATAGCATAGAAGACAAAAGTTTACTTGTACTCAAGAACTGAAAAAAAATGTTGTTTACCTGAAGGTACCTCTGTTAAACCAGCTATCAGCTTACAACACAGTCAGAAGGGGAGGTGGTACCTTCTGTCAGTCCTTTGAAATCCCCACCTTGTTTTATGGTTTTAAGGTTCAATTAATGTGAGAGGTGGCAAGGAGATTTAATTTGTTGAAAATGTAACTGGTAGATCTTTAGATATTTGATTTGGTGAAAAATATTCATCTGCACACCTTGATAATTGAATACTATTTTTTTATTCAGAAATTAAGAGCTTCAAGGATACCTATACTATCCTTTTGTACTCGAAAAGCTATTTCAGCAGACTACCTGAATGTTCATAACTTGACTAGAGCCAGTGCTTTCAGTATGTCTTCAAAATAAGATCAGTAAAGACAAGCCTTTTAAAGCAGTCAGAGTAATCTTGGGAAGCTACTAAGAATGTATCAACCAGACTTTCTGATAGCAGGCCAGCATAAAAACAAATTGTGAAGGTTTTTATGTAAAACAAATCTTCACATTCTTAAAGCTTTTGTGAGGTGGTATAAAAAACGCATTAAGGGTGCTTCAGAGTCTTAAAAAATTAAGACTTGTAAATATTCTCTTGGCTAGTTAAACTCTCTGTTATGGCCCTGAATTTGGCCAATGTCTGTACATCAGGTTTCAAAGTGCGGTTTTACTTTATTTAAAAGTCAAATGTTGAAACAATTTCCTACATAATTTTTAAATGCCTATGGTATGCCTAAAGCTATTTTACATCTGCAAGTGCATCAATTTCACAGTAGTCTACTAATCATTACTTTTAATTGCAATCTGTTTATATATATGGTGAAACCAAGTTTAATGCAGATGCTTATCTATTTTAAAAAGACAAAGTTAATATAACATATCAATGTGTATGAGATGAAATTTTCTGGTACTTTCAAAGTAACTGATTTAATATAAAATGTATTTATATTTTTAGGAATTGTAGTACCTTTAACATATATTCAGATTCAGTCAGTGTGTTCAAAAGTAGATCAGAAACTAAAGAGCAGTGGGTTAAGCCAGTTTTATTTATTTCCATTTTCTAATCACAGTTGGCCTGTTTTTGTAAATCTGATTATCAGGTTAAAACCTGTAAAATGTAAAATAATGTAAATACAGTTATCAGTCTATGCAGTAAGTTTGTAAATATCCCGATACATCTTAACATAATTTGGTAGATTCTACCTCTACTATGAGCTTTTTTTGTGTCGACATTGCCTAGGCACTGCTGTTTAAACGCATTACTTTGATGAAAGTTCATACAACAGGAAGCTGTGTATTAAAACAAATATAAAAATATTTAAAATGTCCTGAAAGTATTCATTTGATCATGTCTGACTTTAGGCATATCATAGACTGAAACCAGCAAGTTCCAGATGTCCACCTGTAACCATGGCTAAAGAGTTTTTATTTTGTTTTTAAACCTAGACGTGCTTCTTTTTAAAAGCCACACTTTGTTAATCATAGACCCGCTTAGAGCCTTCTGCTATGCTGCTCCCTTCAAAGATAAACTGTCAACATTCCACAGTAGGAACAGAGTGACGTCTGTATTTCTCTAGTAGACACTATGTATATACTTGTATTAGTGCTGTTCCAGCATCTTGAGCTTGAGTCCTTACTGCTGCTGCGAGTTGAATATAAGTGTGTGTGCAGGTAATTGTGTGTGTGTGTGGGTGCGTGTTTGGGGGGTGGGGAAGAGATTTCATCTCCGAGGTTAATGGGGTTGCATGACAAATCATGGAAATATGCCACATAACCAGAAAAGAGAGAAAATGGTGCTTAGTATAATACAAAAATAACAAAGTAGTTACGTCTCTTTGCATTTATTACCGCGGTATCTTTAAATAGTTTTCTGCCTTGACTGGTGTCTATTATTTTCGTTTATCGTTGTAATCACGAGCAGCTGGAGAATTGTAAGCTGTTTAAAAATCCCAGTCTGAGAAGGTTTCAAAACATTTTGGAATTGTCAAACAATGTTTTCAATCAGTTATTGCATAAAGAAATGATTCTCTAGAAAATATATTAATTACTGTTTTTTTTAAACCTAGAAATGTCACTTATGCTCATGTTTGGATAAAGCAACATCGTGGTCTCTTACACAAAGTTCTTCAAAAGATGACTAGTCCTGTATATTTTTTTTTAAGGGGAAACTTTCATTGGTAAATGGTGCCTCACATTTCTTGGATATTTTTCCATATGGAGTGTTTGGGTATGTTAGCGAAAGCTTTAGTTGATAAAAGTATGGGCAGCTTCAGTTTTTGCATGTGTCCCAACAAATATTGCTTTTTCAATCACTTTTGTAAGAAGGAATACCTTGATATCATACCATTCAAGAATGGAAGGAATCTAATGTTCAACTTCGTATTAGGTCATCTGGTTTGTGGGCGTTTTGGAATCCTAACGTTTCGTAAAACAAAAAAGTCATAACTGTTATTGTTTTGCCTTTGTTATGAGATTTACATTCAGAAACCAGTAATATAGAACATCATACATTTAAGATATTGCTTCTTTCCAAATTGTAGTAAAATAGTTTGCAAATCAGCAATCTAGGCAACTGCTCTAGCACTAGAATGTTTTTAATTGAACACAAGAAGCAGAACGAATGTATTTTGAGAAGCCAGCTTTTTATAATACATTAATGTAGGTAACTGACAGACGCATATGAAAACTGCAGAAATTCACTGGCTCCCAAATGGCACAGATATTTTTACAAGTGTTTTGTCTCCATTCAAAATTTCTTTGTTGTGGGTTTTTTATGTTTTGGTGGATCAACACAAAATATTTGACATGCAAAGACATCTCTTGCACATTTTGTGCTGAGTTTTCATGCTGAAGAAATGTAACATTGTGCCCATATAATCTTGTGACCATTTGCAGTTTTCTTATTCATAAGTCTCCAACGTGGATATTACATTTATCCCATGGATAAAAATGCCAAATATGTCATTTCTCAGCTTCCCATAAAGTGTGTATGAAAGTTCAGTAGACACCTATAAAATACTCATTTTGTACCTCATGAAATGTACAAATGTACCACAGCAGGACAGCACCAGCCATTAATTAACTTTTGAAGAGTGAATTTGGTAACCCAGTTTTCAGTGTGCACTGTAACAGTTGAAACCGTGGAATACACTATCTACCATTTGAAAGCATTATATCATTGTTCAAACTATACAAAAACAATTTCTAGGAATATCAGTGTAGACTGAGCACAGCCAGTTTCAATCATATAGTAATCTATTTTTATTTTTTTAAGGATGAACTCAAAATTCTGGTAATGGGACTGTATCCATTTAGATTTCGAGGTGCACACTGAATAGAGAGTCTGAATCGGAAAATGGTTCTTAATTTTGTAATGGGTCTGAATGAGAAACCTAATATTGTTCTAAGGATTTATCCAGTTGCTTAATATTATTTTGAATAATTTGTGTGTATATTATACTGTACTCATGGTAAGGTAGAATTTACAGCAATGAAGTTTTTAGCTTTTTTTGTAGTAAACACTGCCTCGTTTCAACCAGACTGGTGTTCTTGCAATTTTAAAACACTTTTATCTACGTTTTTCTTTGTTTTGTAATTGCAATATTGTACAAATTACCCATGGCCGCAAGGTATATACTTGATAATTATAGCTGTCATTGCAGAATGAGTTTTTATTTTAATATGGAGACATATAATTCGTGTGAAGAAACTCACATGACAAGATAATGTACTGTTAGTAATCTATGGAAATGTGAGATTCTGAGCAGTTTATGCCTTTGTTGAGTATAAACCTGTCATTTAGTAGGGTTCTTCACCAATGTACTGTGAGTTAGACTTTTTTCCTACAATATACAAATATACAAAGTACAATATACTTCCTCTTAAATAATTTGACAGCCTCATAGTTAACTCTTTGTGGAATACATTGGCTTGATAATTTCTTTGGCAGACTTTGACACAACTAGCTGGTGTGCTTTAGACCATTCAGTACTAACCACTGAGGGTTATTTTTCTAAGATGAAGTGACTTCACTGCTGCCACTGAATCACAGCCAGAAATGTTGTCATAAATTTGTGAATGACAGAAAACTATTATAGGGCTCCTCGTATTTAACAGCTGATGCCATATTCATTTAAGATGCTTATTAAAAGCAATTTATGACTAGAAAGAACATTGTTTTGTACTTTTTTTTTTTGCATGAGGCATTAATGATTTTGGGATGACCTGGCTTTTTTAATACCAACTGGATCTACCTCAGAATGAAGGTCAGGTGCTACAGTTGTTATCCCTGACATAGAAAATAAACCACAATTGTGACCAAACAGCCAATACTGTGTATATTTGTTAAAATAGTAATTGTGGACTAGCGTGATGGGTGTTTTCTTGAATATGTCATAGGAGTTCAGGGGACCATTTTTGTAATTGGAAATAATAGTACAAAGGGGAGTCTTTGCATCTGAGTATTGTTTTAAAACTTTTCTCCCTTTTTAAAATGTAGTATAGACTTAGTAGACAAGTGTTTCAGTTTTGATAACATTTTATTTTACTTAACCTACTGCTACTAAATGAAGCACATTATATAGGACAACATTTGGGGATACATAAAAGGTTGTGCTCTTAATTGCAATGGAATTTGGAGATGAAAGTCACTTAAAAAAACTATTGCACAATAATTGGTCTATTCCCTGGAACTAACCTTTCTCAAGTGAATCTGTTGGGCAGTATTGAGCAATAATTTCACTGTAAATGAGGTTTTAGAGCACTGATTTGAGCTAGGCATGTCCCTACTTTTTGTACTTTTCACAAGTAAAGCAGGTTAGATATCTTGCAGTGCAGAAAGAATAGGGTGTAATTGCACAGGTTCAGTTTTCTAAATTTTCTCCAATTAATTTTTTTTTCATTTCAGATACCATACTTTTTTTGTTGCTTTAACTGGATTGATGTATTGAAATGAAGTGGGTTAGCCTTAACTCTAGTATCCATTGTCTAGGCATAGCAAAATGAATTCTGTGCAATAGGCTCAATCACCAGCATATTATTACACTTTCAATGGATCATTTGGCCAGCAGGAAAAAGTGGTGTCACTGCACCTAATAAGCTATGTTTTATTGATCGATGAAAATTATAAAGTAAAGCCTGACTCATTTGTCAGAATAAGTGATGGCTGCAATTTTCATAAGGGTTTTTACTACATTTTATAAAGGGAAGTCTTTTTATTTTAGAAAAGGTTTTTTTTATAATACACATACTGACTGCATATTATTGCATATAGAAAGTAATTTTAGACTTTATTCAAATTAAAAGGTACAAAGCTTGTGTGTGTGTATATATATATAGTGGAAATTTTCATTTTTGGTGCAGTTTGCAAATTAATTCAGCAAAGCTATTGTATTTGTTCCCTATGTCTCCCTGGCTGGAAACATCCCTTGTTTTATTTGTGCCTTTTTGTACAAGCAGTTTCCCTACTTTGGTTAGCTGTAATAAGTGTTATCCTTTTGTTTCACAGCACCACATAACAAAGTTCTAAATACATATACAATGAGAAATGACCGTGCATTCTTGAATATGCTGCAAAGAATGATCAGTATTTGTGTTTTGCACTTTCTAAGCAGTGACATGATTGCCTGTCAAATAAAGCCGGGCAAATAAAAATTAAAAGACGAGGTATTTTGTGCTAACAAGAGGATCTATAAAAAATTCAATAACTTTGGAATAAATATGAAGTACCTCATAAGCCTGATATATGCTGCATTGATTTTTTTTTTTACCATTTTATTTGCTGCTTAGTTGAGTTGACTTCTATACTTCATAACCGAGATCACTTTGAAATTATTTTGCCCCCATTTCTTGTTGGTCTTGCTGTTCACAGGGTACTGTGCATATTGCCTTCTAGAAGTGATTAACATTTAATGACATAAATTTAACTCTTTAATGGAATGTATTCTTTGTAATACACCTTGGTAAAACGCCACAAGCACTTTTGAACCTTTTTTTCTTTCAGTCCCATGACAATCAGCAGGCAAAACGTACTAGACACTATTGTTTGTGCACCAGAAGGTATTGATGTTTTTGCAGATTTTGGTTTTGATGGGATCATTATCCTGCTAGCTTTTATTAGAATTTAATGCAGTTTGCAGCTTAAAGTTAATTCATTTTCAGTGGTCGTAATGGTTTGAATGGATAGAGCCGCAAACCTAAAGAGTGGTGTTAATGGAAGTACTTTTCATCAGGCAGTTACTCAAAATAAGCCAGAGTTCCTGAAAGTAAGACTAAATGTAATTGCCAAATGTAGCTTGCCTGATCCATTCCTAGCAGCTTGGTGATCAAAGTACAAATCCATCATGCCATTTCATGCTCGGCACCTGTATAGGCACGCCATGCCATATATTGGTAGCAAGACAGCAGTCTGGAGTCCTGAATCAGAGGGTTGTTACTGAAAGAGTACCTGGCTGGGATACCACTGTTGCACCCTTGAGCAAGGGACTGCATTCATGTTGCTCCAGTAAATACCCTTCTCTGTAAATGGGTCTCTAGGTTGTCGTTATGAATATTCTTTCTCGATTTACTGATCCATTAAATTAAGATGGTCTGTTTTGACTTTGTAACATCCTTATACGTCCATCATCTTCATTACCTCCAAATCAAATAGCTAGGACAGTTATCTTCTTTGGGTAAGTAAAATATTTAGGCACTCCCGACAAAATAATGGGTTCAACTTCAGTACTGGGTGCGCAAACTATTTTGTGAGCATACGTTTTTGACTTGCATCTCTTCCTTTTCCAACAAGTGCAACTGTCAACTCAGGTATCGGCATTGAAGGGCTCTGTGCTCCAGCTGAACCACTGCTTGCACTTCACTTTTGTCTTAAATAGCCCTATAATTCGTGATGGGTTATAGTTAGAAAGATTGGCCTTAAAATACATAGTTGCACACTGTAAATTATGCTCAAATTTTAAAATATAGTATGTTCTGCTGTTGGCTCCTAACCCATAGATGTCACATCTACCTCCTCCATATTCTGTCATTTAGAGTTTGCAAACTACTGTGTTTACCATACCATGGAAGAGCTAAGTAACCAAAGTTACTGTTCAGGAATACTGCACAGTGTCTTTTGAACACAAGGCCTTGAGTCATGAGTTTTTTTTTTAACATATGCCAAAATTGCTGACATTTCCATTGAGGTGAGGTCTTTTGTTGCTGTTTTAATTCATTCAGTTTCACTGCTAAGCTCCTTGTTATTGTAAGTATGTTGTGAGCATAATTTACATTTTCCTTTTGTCAACACTTATTAAAACTCCAATATGCTGTAAACCCTGTTAGAACATAATGTGAAAATGTATCATTTAATGAAGTTGATATTAATGTAGTTCACTTATAAGTTTTTTTTTGCTTGACTGTATTACATTCTTAATAAAATTTAAACTTTTAATGTTTGTGACTTATTTCCAATTTGTTCTAAAACATAATTGAGTAGTGTCTTGTTTCACTAGACTAACCAAACGAGTAAGGGGCTTTGAAGACAACTGGCTTTATAGTCTTAGGCCTGGTTTGCAGTAAGAGATCTTATTCTGACTTGTTTTTTCTTTGCAAGCTGTGTCAACTGCAGTCCTCCCACCATTTAAATAGGAAAAATGTTGACCTGGACAAAAAAAAAACTTGTCAGTTACTGGTGAATGTCTTTGGTCTGACATATGTCGTTTGAAGTGCTTCCCAAAATAAGCTGGAAGTAAAATTTTAACAGTTCTAATTACTGCATTCTTTTGTAGCTGAAGCATATGACTTCAAATCTGACTTGAGTTCTCTTCTCGTGTTTCTAATAGTGCGTATAAACTTATGACTGGCATTAAGGCACTTGCTGTGAAATTAATGATTGAGTTGGAAAACAATTGTAGCCACAATATAAAAATGTAAAAGCATACTTTGAGAAACGGCTAATATTTTTGTACTCTTTTTGTGATTGTGATTACCAAATAGTGTATGTTGTTAGCACAGTGGTGATAAGATTTCAGCAGTTCGATTAAATACCTTTAAATGCCAAATGCTGTCAAATTCGTTTTCATCTGCGATCACTTGTCATTAATATGGACTCCTCTTGGCTATGCATTTTGAACTTTCTGCACTTAATCGACATACAAATAAAACACTTAATGGAGGGATAATTACAATTCATCCAGCTGGCAAAGAAAACAAATGTATTTTACGGTTGTAAATCGTAAAAGATTAGTTAATTGAACGTAAACCCATTGTAGTTAGGATAGTTGGGAAAAGGAGGCTCCCCCAAATTGCACCTGGAATCAAAGTTTATTATATTAACATCGTCCAACTTGGCAAAAGAAAATAGCAACGGAAGAATATGCACTTTCAGCATTTCACATGATAACGAACAGAAGTATCAAGTGAATTAAGTGAAAGACGTGAATATTAACAGTATTTGCAAAAAGAACGTTTTTATAGTCCTTGAGCAAAAAAAATAAATAAATCCCGATGCAATTCGATTCCTTAGTTGTCTAAGGAATCGAACCTAATTCTAAACAATCTAAGTAATAGATTTAATGCATGTCTAACATTTCTCTAAGAAATTAGCCGGCAGAAAATCTTGCATCCAAAGAAATCGCGACACCGTCGCAGGATTCAGGTAATAATTTGTTTCAGGCATTATGAATTATTTGCGCTTGTGTTAGTACTCCTCCTTAATCAGTGGACAATTACAGTCCGTTCGGTATTTTTCACTACTGTAAACTGCGGTACTGCAATGCGTTTGCCAGCTGATTCATGTTTTGACTACACATGAGGTTGCTGTAGAAACCGAGAAAATTCTGGACAAATGATGAAATAACGTTCTAGTCTGAATTGTATAGTCTCATTTCGAAAGTAGAAAGTTAATTAAACAACGATATTCGCAAACTATAAAGACTGGTTAAGTTTCGGGTCCTTGTCAAATGCATCATTCATATATTGTTTCGAACAATGTCGTGTTGTTTTTCATTTAAAGTGTTGAATGGCATTTTTAGCGTTTTAAGATACGAGCGGCACTGCAAAGTCAGGAACGCAGACACGGTGAAAGCTTTGCTTTTGGTTTTTAAAGACAAAAAAAAAACTGTCACGAATTCCACGATTGTTAAATGTCGAGTTTCAAAAGCGAAATGAGGTAAACCTCGAACGAAAGCAAATTATGTCGGCGAATACTGCCGGGCATTTCCCTTTAAATTCATACTCCAGGGCATTCAGCGTGTCAAACTTTCCAATAGCTCATCGGTGCTTGTAATAAGCCACTGCTGCCTCTCTGAGAAGGAGTTTTGATGTTTGATGTTGTGTTGTGACATCCACTGAAGGTAAGTAAAATATTTCGTTTTGATACGTTACAGCGATTTAACATGCTGCAATATTTTGCTTTGAGTAGCACTTAATGCAAAACTGTTTGCGAGACGATATTTAATAAAGGTTAACAGTGGTGCATCTCCGCTTCAGTCTTTCTTGGCAGTTCAAATATCTTGGAGTCATCGAAGTGTCGTTTTTGTTATTCAGTGCTGTGAAAACAGAATGATGCAAATTGAAACGGACCACAGTTTGTGTTCTAAAAAAGTTAGTTTAATGAAACATGAACAAGCTCGGCTTTATTATTTACTAAATAATTTAGTTTCATTCGTTTGTATTTCTTATTAAAAATTTCAGATGGCTTCCAGTTGTTGTTCTTTTTTACGATTTCCAACGCATCTTTAGGTTGTTTTACTTTGTCCGGTTACAAACAAAAACTACATCCAGTCGTAATTAAACTTAAACTATGGGTCAGACTTTTTCCAACAGTATGTCCTTGGACGTTAGGAATCCCCAATCTTCTGTTTATCTTCATAGAGAGAGAGAGAGAGAGAGATGCTACTTGTGCTGAGAACCAAATTGGATTTGGCTGAAGATGAGCTGCTCGCGAGAAGATTTATTCTTGCATTTATCAAAACGTCTTTTATTTCTGTTTCACTTACATATGGAAAAAAAAAAGCCACTGTAATACCCTGGTCTGTCTTGCTAATGGACTGCAGCCAGGTTACTCAGTAGGTTTTCCTATATAACCTATTAAGTTATCAGCCAACAGCACCTAGGCGTGCCAGCTGGGTATTAGTCTTATTTTTATAGCTACTACTGTACCAGACGTGTTCAGCACCAGTTGTAAAGGTAGCCTACCCCCAATTAATGGAAAAATGTCATGTTCTTAGTGGCAAGACATATAAGGAATCCTGATCTTTTTATATCATTTTTCAGTAAGAATAAAGAACATTTAACAGTTTTTTTTTTTGCTAACCTTCTTGTGAACGTTTTATGTGGATTTCTTAGATTTTCTCAACAAAGAGGTTGCCCTACGTACCTGTTCTGCTTCCATGGAATTGTTCCATCCCGCATTTTGCGTTATCGAAACAAACCTGACTGTCAGTATTTGAAGCTTAAAATAATGAGCATATTGATGGGGGAAATAGGATATTGCAGAGTGTCTGGATTTAACTTCTGAAGACTAGCATTTAAGGCGTATTCTTCTCAGTCTATTTTACGGTAGTTTTAATGCTAGTTGCTTAGAAGTAGAAAAGGGAACATATTTACCTTAAGACATTTCTTGGAATATGAAAATGAAAAAAAAGAATTGCCGAATTTTTGCCGAACAAAGGAGGGTCAAAATAACAGGCTCCTTCTTTTTCGAGGTGAAGATTCCCAATCTATGCAAACCCTAAAATTAATAGGGTTTGAATTATACTGTACGCTTTTCAGTGACTTGTTAAAGCTCTAGTCTTTCAGTGGTGTTTATCACCAGATGTACAGTGGTGTACCCAGTTTCTTTCACGATTCTGAGAGGTCCAGTGATGTTCCACTCAGACATTACCAGCCAAGAACCAGTTGTGGGTTTCTCTCTCCTGTTAGTCGCTTTTTTGAGGCTGACTTTTACAGCGATGTGTTCTTTTAGATCCAGTTGTCAGAAACAAATCTGCAGCAGGTTGGACACATGGGTGGAAATGACCATTTCAACAACTCAACAAGCCCACTTAGATGTTGATTATGGTCAGCTGACTATTTTCTTATAGAATACCATGTTGTGAAGGGAATTTAATAATCATGGATACCACATCCTTATATCTAAATCTTTGTGTTGGGCCATGGTAACTCAACTACTATTCACTGATCTTGTATGTTCTTACACACTTCCTGTTTATATAGTCAGCTCATCAGCCTGCATTTTCCAGTTTTTCTATGATCCTCTCATCACAATGAAATAACTTTCTAAAAGCTCTCCACACCCATCTGAGGGGCTAAATGCCAGTAATCGCTGTGCACACAATTCAGTTTGAACTCAAAACTGTTTCGCTGAAAGTATTGTTTTCCTTCTGTAGGATTGTAGTAATATTTCCAGGTGTCCCCCTAATGTGTACTATCATTGTATGCTACGTATGAAACATCCTTAGCATAATTTATAATGCTCACAAGTGAGTAAAGCTTAATATATATGCTAGAAACTGATTGGAAGATTTGGATTTCTTTGTAAGCACAGTTAGTCCCTAATCTAATTGAGGAATTTGTCTTGTGATGTTTAGGAAACAATGACACAGGCTTGGCTGCTAGGCTGCCTCCTGCTGTCGCTATGCACTCTGTGCCTTACGGAAAGCTTTCATCTGGAACTGGAGATGGAGCATGACTGGGACTGGGGGTCTGGACTGGAAAATCTTCTCCACAGCTTCCCGGCCGACAGCCCTTTTGTGACCGAAACCCCCGAGAAACCGGTTAACTGCTCCCAGCGCTTCTGGCTGCCCCCGACCTCGCCCATCTGTTGGGAGAACATCGCTGGACCAGAGGAGTTTGAGCGATCTCGCCTCCTGGTGCTGCAGAACCGGGCAGCTCTGAGGGCTGTGTCAGAGGCCAGCGGTGTGCAGGAGGGGGAAAGATCCTACAATCAGCAGGCCAGGGAGGAAGTCCTGGCCATTCAGGCCGATCACCTCAACATTGTGCAGACGGCTGAGACAATGCAGAAAGTCTTCCAGAATCTGGAAGAAAAGAGGAAGGAAGGTACAGAGCTTTTGACCTTTTCAAGGTGAGTAACCCGTCTTGCACTACACCAGGAAGCAGGTCTCAAGGTCAGCACCTAGAGAAAAAGGTAGAGTCGTTAGTAATTCAAGGGGAACTGCAGTCCCAATTTCTCTGAGCAACAAAATAAATTAATAGATGATATTGCAACGTTTTACAAATTCCAACTTGAAATCAACACGAAATCATGAACGTGTCATGGATGTCCAAAGGGACTAACCGTGGGGAGCAGGAGAGCGGAAAAAGACCCATATGTGTAGCGGCGAGACGGGAAAAAGGCCCGGGCTCATTAGTGCAAAGAGTTCAGGAGTGCCGTATAGAAACCTATGCCCTCAGGGAGCGGACGTGGGGCGCCCTGGTGCTAGACGGGTCTCAGGACATCCGAACGTCAATGCTGAGCGAGGGCAGAGTGCAAGACCCGGAAATATATAGCCCAAGGGAAAGAGAGGGACAGGACAGAGAAGGAGCGCCCTCTGGCTGCAGAGGGCGTGACAGAACGTTGTGAAAGTACTGTATGGCTGCAATGTTGTCCCAAACCGCTGGTCATGTCATGGACAGGAGCAAGAGTTTGCGAGATGAAGCGGCCCTTCCTGCTCACTAGTCACTGTGATGAGTAATGGAATGTGATGTACGAGTGACTAAGTACAGGTTGTGCAGCAGGTATTTTGCTGCAGAAATGTTCCAAGGTGATCTACACGCAGAGTTAACAATTAAGTAGTATTTGTCGACAAAAGCATCTCGATGTCAAGAACAATATTTCTTTTTAAAGAGATTTATTCGCAAGCCCGCTTGTTTCCAACGTCCTAGGGCTGTTTCACTTCACCGGACGTTTTGTTGCCTCATTCTGAATCAGTGACAATGACAGCAAAATTGTGGTTGAGCATACCTGGACATTTTCTTGTGTTGTGTAAATTGGAGGTTTTACACATGACTGTGTACATTTTACTTTCATTTTGGTTTGAAATTGAATCATAAATGCCAGTTCTTCCTAACCCTGCAATATACCCTAAAAATAGGGTTGCAGTTCCCTTTTAATCAAGGAGCTTGACATCTTGCGTAAGTCCTAGCGTGAGCCATTCTGTCAGAAACGGACAGGTAAGTGCTCTGTATGGTTAAGAGTTACAGAGTGCTTACGTGGAAGCCAGACAGCTAGCGGAAAAATAAAATAGGTTTACATTTGCACACCAACAACACTGAATTCTCTGAGCATGAAGTCATGTGGATCGGACACAAGTCCAGACTCATCAGCATGGGCTGCTTGGTCCAAAAACGAACAGAAAATATTCTGGATGCCATTTGTCTTGCAACTAAAAAACTTCACATGTTGATTTTATTTGCAGGCCCATCTGGTTTGAGGAAACGTTGCCTTTAAATGTAAACATGGAAACCCATCAAGGGTCCTAATTCTGATGTAGAGTGGGCTTTAATTATGAAAAAATATCCAAGTGCTTGAAGCACAGCCAAATCCTAAGTATTGTGCAGCAAGCAACACATAATCTAATTCCTAGGTGCTGATTTACACAGGATGTGTGGGAAGGTGCTGTAGATGAACTAGTCGTTTTGTCCTTTTAAACTCTGTGATTTCTTTGCAGCTTTAAGGAGAGGATCGGCACAACAAAGGATTCTATACAAGGACGGGAGCACCTGGCAGACTTGCTGGAGAGACAACTGGCCAGCCTGGAAGGGTCTATTCACATCCTGCAGCACAGGCTAGCCAAGTTACTGGCCTGATGATTTTGTGAGTCAGCCTGCAAGACAGCACCCTCTCTCCAGATCAGCTTAGTATATCCAGAACAAAAACTTGATTTGCTTGGCTGTATGCCTAGAAAAGCAAAGGAAACCTGTTTTTACACAGTGTATGGTAGCCTATAGAACTTTTTTTTGTATCTCAATATCCATTCTTTGCATGCTGACAGTCATGTACTAAATTCTCCATCTACACATAGCGTTCCTACTTGAAGTTCCTAGCAATAAAATCTATTTTTATACTTGTAACTTGCCGCCTTTATTCCATAGCACTTTTATTCTTCTGCAGGAATGAGGATATTCTATGGTTATTTTTAATTTCCAGTTTTGTATAGTACACGTACGTATGACTTATATACCACTAGTTCATTTCACTGTTTTAAGTATTGCGATATGACTATACACATTCCAAAATGGGGTCGACTCCCATAAAAAAATGTTTAGAAAAGAGTGTTTTTAAATGTTATTTTCAGCCTAATTTGAGTCTTGACATCACAAGAAAGATCATACATGATATAAAATGTCATTAGCTGTAAAATGAAGGATTTGCTTGATGACCTTGGGAATATTAAGTGTGTTAGGGTGGATGGAAAGAAATGCATAGTGGTTCTGTGAGAGAGATCTGCTTGTGATATTGATGTTTTGAGGGGTGTCGGACAGCATGCTGCTGAAAGACAACATTTTAAGGACTTGGTTTTGTAAGTCTGTGTCCTTGCTGCAAAGATGATGCCGATGATGTCTGAGCAGAGAATCAGTGGATTTGTAATGCACAACAACTTTCAATCCCAGGTGGTTAGTCTTAATTATCTCCAGTTAAAACAAGATAATATTAATTGGCTTCCCCCTCAAAATTACATTGTCCATAGCTCACTTTTTCTGATACAGAAATTGTTCCCTCAGGTTCTGTTAAGAATTTAGGAGAGATTTTGGACTTATCCTTATATTTCAACTCACATGGCCACAACGTCTGCAGCATATCCCTCTTACATTTACAAAACATATCCCGTTGATTCTTTGTCTTACTGATGTTTTGCTAGCTAGATCATCCAAGAAGAAACTTCAGAGACAACAATCTCTCCGAACTGCTGTCGAGTGCTGAGCAAGCCTTAAAAAACCTGCACAGATTTCTCCAGTGTTGAAAAACCTGGACTGGCTACCAGTTGACTTGTTTGTGAAACCTACCAGACACTGCATGGTCCGACTCCTGTGTATCTTACAATTCCCACACATCCCAGATTTGCTCACTTTGCTCCGCTGGCTCTAGGCTCTTCCAGCTTTCCAAAGCCTTCACATCGTATGAGAGGGGACTGAGCCTTTTCAGCAGTGACCCCTCTTCTTTGGAATACTCTTCCTGCCCACATTAACGACTCACCCACTGCCGTTTTTAAATCTTGCATCAAAAGTTTTTTTTTCAGATCTTATTCTCTTTTTCCTGCTTAATACTCATTTTTAGACGCATCATATAAAATGCTCTAGCTCGAAAGGTGCTATATAAGAATAAGCTTGAGACCAGAAAAGGACGAGTGTCAGATTAGAGATTAAAAGTGAATTTGAGTGATAGATGTCAAAAGAAAAATATTGTTTAATAGCCACCAGAAATCCAATTCTTCCTGGTGAAGGTCACTGGCACCTTGGGCCTGGAAGCACAGACCAACCTGCACAATTTAGTTAATACAGCCAGTCTGTCTTTAGACTATGGAAAGAAACCAGAGCATTTGAAGAAAACATGTTAATAGTAAAATGTATAGTAGTTTTAACATATTTTTGTAGATATTTACCAGGCGGCATGGTGGTGCAATGGGTAGCATTGCTGGGACCCTGGGTTCCATTCTGATGTGGGGTGCTATCTGCATGAAATCTATCTTGTACATGAGTTTCCTCCAGGTGCTCCAGTTTTCTCCCACAGAAAACCTACTGATAGGTGAAATGGCTTGTAGGAAAACTGGCCCTAGGTATGGGGGTGTGTGTATCTGCCCCATGAAGGGCTAGTGTCCCATCCAGTGTGTACCCTGCCTTGCGCTTGCTCCTTGTTGAGACAGACGCCGGCTCTCCTGCGACACCAAATTGGAAGAAGCAGTTAATGGCAGCAAAATGTATGGATAGATATCTACCTTCTAGATCTAATCAGTCTAAATTCTCTTGAGATTGTTCCATACTGACAGTGATTTCTTGAAAAGAGGTTTCACTGCCAGAAAAAGTCAAAACCCTCTTGCATATATTACGCAATTGCTGTAGTAGAAAAAGACGAGAGGAACTATTTAATGTATGTCATTTTATTTATTTTTTTACAAAACTGAATATACAAAATATCTGAAGAAAACAAAACAGCTGCATGATATACAAAATCTTCCAATATATCCTTCTGCTGTTTGACCAAATTATTTACAACAATCAGGGTATTTGATTAAAGAATTCCCCTTCACGCAGCAGAGGGAACAGTTTAATATCAACAGCTACCCCACTCTTTACAGCTGTTCATTTTCATGAGGCGGCTGGGCTCAGAAGCATTTCTACCTCATCTGTAGATCGTGAGAAAGGGTCTATAGTATGCTACCTCACATTTCACAAGCTACTACATCCCAATTATGTTGAGTAATGGAAATGTACCATTTCACTAAGCCGAGAAAGTGTTATTTTTTATTTCAAAAAGCTCATTTCTCCTGATTTTGGATGGATACCAAAACACAAGAAATGAAATGAAATTCCTGTCGACAGAAAACAGATATCCTCTGTGTATCATTAGCAAATATTTCATACAGTGTAAACTATAAAATGTATTTTTTCTTGTTTCTGAGTAATTAATCTGACTAGAATACAGAAATGGTCAGTGCACAGTACAATCTAGCTACACCTGTTTGGAGGCTGTTAATATTTCTATGTACAAACTACAGTTAGCCCTTCTTAATGAAAAAAGGCAGTTTGTGAAATATCAGATGCATCCTTCTGTCTAAAGATCTTTTGTTAATGTTCCAATACACAATACCTGGTGACCTTATAGTA